TATTATTATTATTATTCCTCTTATAAATAATTTGTGGTGGTAAAGAAATATGTGAATGATAGGAAGATATTATTACTTATGGATGAAAAATATAAATTTATTTTTAAGTATAAAAACCTTAAATTAATCAACTTTTTATCATGTTAACAGCTTAAAGGGTATTTCAGACATTTTGATTAAAAAAAGTGTTTACCAGCACTTATTTGCCAAACACATCAACAACTTTTTTTTCAACTGCAACACTTTTATCCAAACACATAACTACTTATTTTTAAAATAAGTTCCAGCACTTTAAAAAGTTACTTTTTAAAAGTTATTTTTTTTAAGTCAATCCAAACGGGCCCTAACTTTGATACTTCAATTCACAACCCCCAATAAACAAAAAAAATAAAAATGAAGCCAATAGGGTAGATAAAAACCGTCAAATTTTATTTTTGATTTTTTTTGAGATAATTCATTTACAATTCTACAATAAATCAATATATAATTCATCACATTGTTACGTTAATTACTCACGTCAATTAAAGTAGTGCACATTACAACTTTAAATGTATCTACGATATAATTGCACCAGAACTCTAATAAAATAAAATAAAATTAGCATAAGTCTCCCTGAACGCATAATATACTATATCCATTTGTAAAGCGCGGCTTTTGAATTGGGCGCCAAAAGTGAAGCAATATATAACTTGAAAGCCAACTACTATAAGTTGCTCTGTTTCTGTCAATCGCCATAACCGTCAACAAAGAAGAAAAAAAGAAAGCTCTGTTCTCCCATGGCTCCCAAGAAAAGGGAAAAGAAGAAGTCACCCGCCATTGTTAATCGAAGAACTTCTCTCAGAATGAAGGCTGAACCTGGTCCTCCTCACTCACCCGAAACAAACACTTCTGATAGCGGCGGTGGCGCATCTTCTTCCATGGATTCCGTGAAAAGGGAAAATGTGGAGTCTCCTGCCATTGTTACTGAAAGCTCTACTGGGAAACGCCAAAAAGTGAAATCGGAGACTTCTACTGATCAGATTGGTTCAGTCAGTTCTTCCATTAAAAGGGAAAATGTGGAGTCTGCCGCCATTGTTACTGGAAGTTCTACTAGGCAACTTCGAACGGTGAAATTGGAGCCTTCTTCTTCAGGTGAGATTGGGCCAGTCGATTCAAAGAGCGCCATTGTTACTCAAAGCTCTACTAGGCAACTTCGAACAGTGAAATCGGAGCCTTCTTCTCCAGGCCAAATTGGATCAGTCGATTCCAAGAACGCCATTGTTACTCAACGCTCTACTGGGAAACTTCGAACAGTGAAATTGGAGCCTTCTTTTTCAGGTGAGATTGGACCAGTCGATTCCAAGAGCGCCATTGTTACTCAAAGCTCTACTGGGAAACTTCCAAAAGTGAAATCGGAGCCTCCTTCTCCAGGCCAGATTGGATCAGTCGATTCCAAGAACACCATTGTTACTGGAAGCTCTACTAGGCAACTTCGAAAAGTGAAATTGGAGCTTTCTGATCAAATTGAATCAATCAATTCCAAGAAAAGGGAAAATATGGACACCAAAAGAAAAGTTAAGGAAGAAGACGACAGTAGTTCGAAATTAACCATCTCTGAAGTAAGGGAAAATGTGCAGCCAACTTCCGGTGTTCTCACCCGCCATGGCAAAGCCAAAATGGATTCTGAATCGAGTCTTTCTGAAGGAAAAACACCCACTTCTAGCTCGACTCGCCGAGGCAAAGCTAAAATGGAGTCTGAAACGCCCAAGAAAGAGGGAAATGGGAAGGGTACCATTAAAACAAAGGTCAATTTCTCCTGATATCACTGCAAATATCACTCAATTCAATCTTGATTCTTTGGGAGTATTGTTTGGTGTAATTGATTCTTTTCTCTGTTGAATTTCATTCATCTTCTGTAAAATTCATATTGGAATCGAAAAAATACTACTGTTAATGAAAAATTGAAACCTTTGATTTGATTCAACTTCATCTTTCTGTTACTCTGTTTTGGGTCAATCCACATTTTGCATACTCTGTTTTTGTTATTTTGCAGTCATGTTGCTCTTCTTGTCAATTTCATACTCTTGTTTCAATTTATTTGTATATTAGTTTTGTTTTAGTCCGCTTTAAAATGAATGTCTTTTTCGGTTTTTGACAAGATACGAAAGATGCTAGTCGTGTGAGTCAGAAATGAATTAACAAATATGAAGCAAGACCTACGTTCTCTCATCCCAATTATTTTAATTTCAACTTTTTTTTCATACATGTTTAAAATCATAAGATTAAAAGGTATATTGGTACATTGATATATCCTTAATTTAATTTACGAGGATATGATTCAAAAGTTTTACTATTTATTTTCTTAAACTTTTGTGTCAAATCAAAATCAGACAAAAGATTGAAAAGGGAAAAGTATTTAATTTATGATAGATGATGGATGATATTCCCTTCGTTTTAAAACAAGTGACATTTTTATTTTTGTTTCAAATAAATGGTGTTTCAACTTTCACATAATCAACAAGAAAATAATGACGTTCTTTCAAATTTTTATCCATATTTAAATAAATAGAATATTACATAACTAAAAAACTACTTCCTCCATTTCATATTACTATGATCTTGTTGACCTGACACAACTCTTAAGTAAGTTTTGATTAGAGGTGTATTTCATTAAACTAACATTTATGATTCTTTGAGATTCTAAATTCAAGTAGTAGTACTTTATATAGTTATTTAATATTAAGGATAGTATGAAAAAGTAATAAAACTATCTTAATTTGTTAAAATGGATAAGTAAAATATCTATTTTTAATGTATGAGTTAAGTAAAATGAAATAGTAAGCGCTAAAAGTTGTATCTTTTTCAAGGTATTTATTAAGGATAAGTTAGTAATATTATATTTTAATTTCTATCAATGAGTTTTTCTCTTAAATGATGTGTTCATGGGCTAAAGAGTTGTATCTTTTTAAAAGTCATATTATCAAAATATTTATGGGCTAACACACACGAGAAATAGAGAAAATAGCTTAACTCATGTAAAATGGATCCTAAATGCCCAAAATATGTGCAAAAAATATTGAGACGTCACGTACAGATCCCCCAACTCCTTACGGAGAGTTCCATAAAGATTTTGCAAAAAAAATCATCTGAAAGTCATATCATCAAAATATTCATGGGCTAACACACAAAAAAGTTAGAAAATTGCCTAATTTCTGTAAAATGACTCATAAATGTCCAAAATATGTGCAAAACTGGTAAGACTTCGCGTACGGCTCCATGTACTTCCTATAGAGGGTTTCGTAAAGGTTTTGCAAAAAAAATATTCGAAAGCTACATCACCAAAATATTCATGGGCTAACACACAAAAAATTGAGAAAATCGCCTTATTCGTGTAAAATAGATTGTCCTAAATGCCGAAAATATATGCAAAAACGGTGAAGTTTCACGCAGTGCTCCCCCAACTCTCTACAGAGGGTTCCTAAAAGGTTTTGCAAAACAATTTTCTGAAAGTCATATCACCAAAATATTCATGGCGTAACTCACACATTAAACTAAGAAAATCACGTAATTATTGTAAAATGGCTCCTAAATGCCCAAAATATTTTGTGACTCTTCACGTACTGCTCCCCCTACACCTTACCGAGGGTTTGCAAATGTTTTGCAATAAAAAATCGTCTGAAAGCTATATTCACCAAAATATTCATGGGCTAACACAAACAAAAAACTGAGAAAACCAGCTAATTTGTGTAAAATGGATCCTAAATGCCAAAATATGTGCAAAAAAATAGTGAGGCTTCAAATACTGCTCCCCTAACTTCCTATGGAGGGTTCTATAAAGATTTTGCAAAAATATCATTTGAAGTCATATCATCAAAATATTAATGGGCTAGGCTAACACACGAAAAATTGAGAAAATCGTTTAATTCCTGTAAAATCTTTCTTAATACCAAAAATATATGCAAAATGGTGGGCTTTCACGTACTGCTCCCCCAACTCTCTACGGAGGGTTCAGTAAAAGTTTTACAAAAAAAAATTGTTCAGAAATCATATCATCAAAATATTCACGTGCTAACACACGGAAAACTGAGAAAATTGCCCTCTATAAAACGTCTCTTAAATGCCCAAATTGTGTGCAAAAAATAATAAGGCTTCACGTACTTCTCCCACAACTCTCTATGGAGGGTTCTGTAAACATTTTGCAAAAAAAGTTCGGAAGCCATATTACCAAAATATTCATGTGATAATACACACAAAAATTGAGAAAATCACCTAATTCCTATAAATTGATCATAAATGCTCAAAATATGTGCAAAAATGGTGAGGCTTTATGCACTACTCCCGTTACTCCCTATGGAGAGTTCCGTAAAGGTTTTTTAAAAAAATCAACTTGACGCCATATCACCAAAATACATATGGGCTAACACACACGAAAAACTTAGAAAACTGTGCAATTTCTTTTAAAATAGCTCCTAAATGCCCAAAATATGTGCAAAATATGGTGAGCTTTCACGTATTGCTCCCTCAAATTCCTATGGAGGGTTTTATAAATGCTTTGCAAAAAATATATCTGAAAGTCATATCACCAAAATATTTATGGGCCAATACACACTAAAACCTATGAAAATCACCTAATTCCTGTAAAATGAATCCTAAATATATGTAAAAATGGTGAAATTTCACGCATGGCTCCCAAAGGATTTTATAAAGGTTTTGCAATGTTCATTCTGTCTTTCTACTAATATGTTGTGGTCTTGTCAACCATATTCATGTTATTCTGCAGTATTATTTAATAATAATACAACTAGCACATTACACAAAAATGTTAGAACAAGAATGTAAACGTAATATTACAAACTACAAGAAAGGTATTATAACAAGGAATAACTTATTAACAATTATTTACCCGATAATATTTCATAAATAAGGTATGAAAGGTGAAATATGTAGAGAACTCTTTGAAGTTCCTTTCTAAAAGGTATGATTACCGTCAAACTTTGTTTTAATAACAAATTTATATATTAACACTTTACTATAATACTCAAGTTTTTCTTGTTACATATTTTACCTCTCTATGATAATTTGTTTTACCTATAACATTAACAATCATATTTATAACAATACATTCTTCATAAAATTATCTCTCTGTAACAATTATTTTCTTTATTTGATAATATAATAATTAATAATTTTTATAAAATAAAATTTATAAGATTACCAATAATAGGTCTAAAGATTTTGATCAAATTAATATTTTGGCACTTTAATGATGTTTTTAACTAAATAATTTTGAAAGTCTCAAACAAAAGACAATACATTTAATATTTTTCCCCATTTGAATGGATTCATTGAATTTTTCATCTTCTTAAAAAAGAATAAATGTAAGTTATTATAATCTGAATTCAAAGAGTTTTTCAATATATATATATTTTCTACTATTATATAAGAGGGAGTTTATGATGGGACATTCTATGTGTCCCATCATAAACTCCCTATATAATATATAACTAGATAATGTTGGCCGTGCTATGCACGGCCCAATAATATAAATGGTATGGTTTGGGGCTAATAACCGAGTTTTTCAAGCGATTGTTTGCGTGAATAAAGAAATAAGTTTTTTTTATCACAAGCATGTACTTTCTTTTACGCTATTTAAGGCATAATAAGACTACCCACATACAACATTTTTGAAATATTTTATGTTGTCAATTAACATGATTTATAGTATTTTTACGATAGATTTACTTCAAGAATCAATAGAATTTTTTGTATTTTTTTCAAAACATATTTTATATTGTCAATTATCATGATTTATAGTATTTTTACGTAATTTTTAAATAT